TACAACTATTTATTCTATTAATATAAAATTACTTTGCGTGTACTGTGGCCAATAAAAAGTATTTTAATTAATTAATTAATTATGTGTAAACTTGTATTAATATATTACAATGTAATAATTTTCTATGAGCTAATGTTGAGGCATATCTATAGTTATATCATGTATAGTTTGGTCAATAATAAGATATTTAATTTTAAACATGAATTGGCCTAATAATCGGCCACAGTACAGAGGAAGGGTTAAAGTGTAAAACTTTAATCTATAAAACAAAGGATGGCAGCCATTAATTTTTGTGAATCAAAATATTCAATTAATTGGTTATATTTTATAATATTTAAAAACACACTAATTTAGATTTTATATATTTTTATTAATGAAAGTATCATGATGATACTATCAGTAATGTAAATCAAATGATAACAAATGTACTTTCTTTTAAATGTTTTTGTATGTTACTTTATTGTATTTACTTATTTTAATAAATTGGTTTTTGGTTAATAAATGTGTAATCCGTTGATAAAATAGTATTTATCAAGGGAATTAATTGCAAATTTAGTAATTTTGTAAATTAAAAACTAATTATAATATAATTATACATATTATGTATGATTTTTAAAATATTTAATTTTTAAATACAGTATTTTATATTATATTTATACATTTAATATTACATAAATGGATTTAAATTATTTTATACATTAATAATTTAATTCTTGATGATTTTTATACTTATTTATATACTTATAGACGAATAATTTTATAAATTGTTTATTAGTAAAATCAAATGAAATGTTTTGTATTATAAGCTAATTAAAGCAATAATTGTTTAATAAATATGAATTCATAATAATTGATGTTTTATTAAAATTCATCAACTATTAATAAAGTATAAACTATATTAGTAATATTATATAAAACAATAACAAATAATTAAAACCAAATTAAATTACAACGAGCATAACGTCTGTAAACATAATGAAAGTGTCACATGAAATGAAAAAAATCAATTTTTATTGATTTACACATTGAATTGTAAAGAAAGAAAAATATAATAAATAATATTCTCTTACAAAGTGTTTGCAAAGAAAGGGAAATGTGAGGCAAAGTACTCACACTTAACGTTAATAAGAGAGTAAACGAAAAATAAAGCATTTATGAATATAGAATATTCTGTACATTTGTGTATATGTAGGTGTATTTGTTGTCATGTATTGAGTCAAACCGTTAAAACACAGCTTAAGTGGAAAGTTGTTGTTCAGATCATCATTGTTTCCATTGGAGACAAAATATATATAAATATTCACAGATATATCAGTAAAAATCAGAAATATAGCGGAGAATAAGTACAAAACAAGTAAAGTGTGACTGAAATTATGCATAAAATGCATTCAAATTATACCAATTGGCAATTGAGGTAATAGGAGAGTCCAATCAGTCTTTTATCAGACATTGTATACATATTTCTTTGTAAAAAGAGTTTAGTGTCATTTGGTCGCCAATACTCAAACCCATTGCAACTGTTATTGCAATACCAGTCCGTTTGTTATGTAATGTGAAATCAAAAAACTCTTATGTAATATCATTTGAAAAGTGCTCTTATATTGTATTATATAACAAAATTCATGTGATTAGTTGACATTAATTTTCTACTAAATACTTTTGCTCAAGTGTTTCATAGATCATAACATTTAAGTGAACATTTATTAAATTATATTAAGTTACTGTGAATTTGTTGTCAAATGAAACGGATATAAACGCAAGAAATCAACTCAAATTTGGTCGCAAGCATTAAAATGGCATTAAATGGTGTGTTGTTTGGCATTAGTTAAGCCGGGAATACAATGACAGAGACGGAGAACGTACGCGTGGCCGTACGGGTCAGACCATTCATATCCTTTTCAATCCACATTCAATTTTATACTCAAATCATGTGTTCATAATCTAATCACTGATACAATGAAGACATTGATGTGTTAATTATTGTTTTATATTATTTGGTTGTCAATCACGATTGACAATCTCATTAAACTATTCTTTAATAATATACGCTAATTACTCAATTGATTTATAAAATTATATTTAAGTGTTTGTAAATTATTTTCTGATTTCACAATCAATAATGATTATTATCTAATTATTAAACTTATATTACAAAAATATCTATACATATATTAGTTAAATTGTGTGATAAAAGTCGCGTATTTATGCAATTCTTTATACAATCCATTTAAATATATTTAACACACAATTGTTCTCATATACGAGAAATTAATGAACAAAGTCTATGATAGGAATGCCTGAATTCCTGACCCAATTCCTCTTCAATCATATCTTTGTTTTCTTCTAATTCTTTTAATTAAAATATATTAATAAATGTATATAAAAAGCATTTCATATTAAGCAGATATTTATCAATAATATATGCCTTAATCTACAGTATATTAAATAAATTTCTGGGTATTTGTTAATACAATCCTCGGTATATAAAATTTAGTATAATTTTTAAAAATGTATTTTTATATATTATAATAACGAGCCCAAGTAAAACTATTAAATAGTCATAAGAGTTATTATAAATAAAAATAATAATTGGGGTTTGAAATATTGATAAAATTATTGGTTGAGTTATATATTAAATGAGTTTATTTAAATAAATACTAAAACAATGCATGAAATTATAGATTAAAATTTAATATGAATTATTTGATAAATCAATAGAAATTCTGACAAAGAAATTGTTTAAAATAAAAAATTTAGCACAATATTCAATGAATATAAAGTAATTTTATTATATAATTTCAACACTAACTAAGCTATAATTATGAGTAGACATGTCATTAAACTAATAGGAAACATAGTGTCACGTTATAATCAATTGCTGTCATATCAATAATGATGATCCAAATACCATTATATTCACATTCAGTGCTCAATGCAAACAAATCAATCAAAACATCAATTTATTTGTTTATTGAATAGAGAATCAAAATTATTCAAAATATTTCTCATATATAAAAATAATGACATAAATTATATTTTGTCGTTATTTCATATAATCCAATAAATTGAACGAAAAATTCTAAGCATTTTAATGAAATTTTTGGGCAAATATTTATGTATTGATTGTCATATAAATGTCTAAATGTCTCATGAATTTTCTACTTATTATGAGAAATAGTTTTTTGTTTTATTACCAAAATTGAATATTATTTCTATTTTCTGTGTAATATTATAATAAATTGTGATTTTCTTATTTTCTTTCAAATTTGTTTTACAAAATATATAAAAGTTTTACAAGAAAAAGAGCATGTAATAAAAATATTTTATATTTATCATTTATTTTGTCTGTAATACCTTTAATATTCATTCATTTATTTTGTTGTAAACGAAAATGAAAATATTTTTCAGGAAAATGTATTTCACGTCTAATTTATAACAAGAAATATATAACAATCAAAATATTGGGTGCAATGACTGCTCTCTAAATACAAAAAATCATATTTGTATACAAAACAAATAACAAATTTAGTTGTATACAATCTCTACATTAGAGAGAGAGAGAGAGAGAGAGAGAGAGAGAGAGAGAGAGAGAGAGAGAGAGAGAGAGAGAGAGAGAGANNAGAGAGAGAGAGAGAGAGAGAGAGAGAGAGAGAGAGAGAGAGAGAGAGAGCCAAAGCCATAGGAAATGCTCACCGGTTTCCCCATAATGATAAGTCCGGCGCAATACAGTTATGTTAATTTATAAATGCTATATTAAATACTATTCTTTAAAAAAATTTAACTTATTTTTAATATAATGTATTATATAATAATTAAAAATTAAGTAAGATTCAATTTTAGTATATTCTTAAATGTAAAATAAACGCGAAATGTGTACAAATAATGAACAATGTTTTCCGTATATTATACTTGTGTTTGATTGCATAACGAATCCATTATTAATTAGTCAAAGAGATTATTTAATTATTCATAACTCGAATCAAATTAATTTGTTTTTTATACAACAAATACTTGTTTAGCACTTATTAACGCATATCTATTATCAATACAATGAATGAATCAATATTTTCCTTAACTGAATCAAAAATTTTGCTTTAAAAATGTTTACAATCCGAGAGAAAAGCAACGAAATGCTCAATCAATTATTACTATGGAAAACAACACAACTCTTCTGTTTAGTGTCGATAATCTTCAAGAAGAGCCCAAAAAGTTTACATTTGATTACAGCTATTGGTCTCACGACGGCTTCACTGAAGCAGACAATGGCTTTTGTATTGCGGATGAATCCCATGAAAATGGACCCAAATATGCAGATCAGGTCAGAGCAGACAGTTTTACAACAAACACATTGTTTCCCTCAAAATCTTAATTTCTGACACCAATTATAATTTCACGTAAAATAAACAACAATTTAATTTATATCAAATATAACGAGCGCTTAATCTATTGTAACTAAATCCTTGCTATAGTTGTATTCAAATCCATGCATTCAAATCAATTGGATTCTCTAAATGTTAACGATTTCAATAATAAACTCATTTTCTCACTATTTCTCAATTAGTTAGACATTAATTTAATTTAATTAATTGGAATGAAATAAAAATACACTTAAATTGTTTAATTAAGACAACACAACAAGTAATAAAATTTAATGAATAATAATCGGAAACTCTTGTAAATACTAATAAATAATATAATTTCGTGTAGAATTATAATTAAGGTTTTATTAAACGAAATATCAATATTATTTTTGTAGGAAAACTGCTTAATGATATATAAATATAACATTTGAAATGTTTTATGTTAAATATTAATAACTATGAAAATCGAAATGTGTTTTTATAATAAATTTTTATTCTTGTTATAAATCTTGTCAAACAATTTGATTTCTAAAAAGCAAACAAAATATACAACCATTAGTTCCTTACCTGATATGATTAGATCTCATACATGGCATAAGTCCAGGACATCTTTCTCTCTGCTTATCAAACATTTGCCAAATATATTACACTTTATTATAGATCATTGAACATAAAAGAAACAAAAATTTACTATAAAATACATTATATTTATATTTTACATAAAAACATTTGACAGATTTGATACATTATTACAACATTTGACTGACACTTCCAACTGACTTATAATAAGAAAATAAGATTATAATAAATGATTGCTTCAAATATTTATGATGTTATACCAAAAAAAATATACGTTTAGATAAAACTCAATCATAAGATAGCAATCAATTCTTATCAAAACTAAACGAAAGTATATTTTGTTTTATATTTAACTCTTTTTTTAATATTTGAACATTTTCTCAACCCTTAACCGAAATCTGTTATATTTGGCAATATTTTTATAATTAAAAATCAAAGAACAAAACATTAGGCAATCATATGATTTAACAAAATATTGATTGGTTGTTGTGAATAGGAAACGGTATATAAGGACCTTGGTCACACTTTGCTTAGAAATGCATGGGACGGATATAACGCGGCGCTCTTCGCTTACGGACAGACGGGGTCTGGAAAGTCGTACTCAATTGTAGGCTATGGAAGCAATAAAGGTCTATATTAACACATTTTACAATATTTTACAAATAAAAGAGATTTGGCGTACATTTTGTCGCTTAATATCGATTACTAGAAATGATTTTTAAAAAGATAAAATATTGTGTTGAAAGGAATCGTCCCTCGATTTTGTGAGGAAATATTTCAGACAATAGAGCACAGGAACGGCGACGGAACCGGATTTGAAGTCACATTTTCTATGCTTGAAATATATAATGAAATTGTTAAGGATTTGTTAAATATTCATCAAAACGATAGTCAAAATAAAAATTACACAAAAAATAAGAAAAAAGGCCTTAAAATTAGAGAACATCCGACCAAAGGATTTTATGGTTAGTATCAGCAAAAATGTTATCGTATTTAACACACAATGAAAGCGCGAAATAGTAATCAAATGTTGAATGAAATGTTTAGCGGAAGGATTGCAATCATTTTTGGTTACAAATTATAAGGAAATGGAGGAAAGGATTAATGAGGGCACCACTAATCGCAGTATCGCCGCAACCAATATGAACGAGACGTCTTCGAGAGCGCACACTATTATTGTCATTAATTTGGTCCAGAAGTCGAAGAACAGCAGCGGTCAGGAGACCACTAAAACCTCTACAATAAATCTGGTCGACTTAGCCGGAAGGTTAGGCCAATACAACCACTACTGTTCAGTACATGTCATTAAGTTTGCTATTATTTTAACCAAAACAGTGAACGACTTTCGGGAACTCAAGCGACCGGCGATCGTATGAAAGAAGGCGTTTCGATAAACCAATCGCTGAGTTGTGTCGGCAATTGTATCCACGCGTTGGCAGAGAAGGCTCAGGGAAAGAGTGTGAAGGTTCCCTATCGGGACTCTGTTCTCACCAGACTATTACAAAATGCTTTGGGAGGCAATAGTAAGACAGTTATGTTGGCCGCCATCAGTCCCGCGGATATCAACTACGACGAGACCCTTTCCACACTCAGATACGGTCAGACACTGACATTCATTGCAATATTCATTACTTTATTTAACTACTATTTACTATTGAGTGTCAAAACTCCTTATCTAATCGTTAAAGACATATAAACAAATGATTAAAATATTATTCAATGTCCGGATATAGATATAAATATTTGGGTGCATTTTGATTAAATACAATGATTAATAAAATCAATAAATAAATAAATTATTTAAATTATAAATTGATAAAAATGCGCCAAATATTTTGAATATAGGAATATTGAGTGATATGTGAGTTTGCACTACAAGTGCTGACATCACAAATATTTTCCAATAACTTAAATATGGCTCCAAATTTTAAACATTTAACTGTAAATGTAATCAATAAAGTTTTGTTATGATATTTACTAATTATTTCTAAATTATATGATTATAATATTGAAATGTTGTAATCCATATATAATTAGCCGATAGAGCGAAACAAATCAGAAATCACGCGAAGATTAATAAGGATTCGACCGATAAGTTGGTGAAGGAGTTGAGGGAAGAAAATGAAAAACTTAAGAAACTTATGGAAAGTGGAACTAATAATGTGAACGGTTCGGTCACTCCTCTCAATGGATTCGCTCTCTCACCCGACGGTTAGAAATATTAGCACATTATAACTAAAAGCAGGCACTTTCTGCTCAATTTGTTGCTTTTGAAATAGTAGGTAAAATTGGTGTATACGGTATACCACTAGACTCTGTACAGAATATACTTTTATATGCAGAGTGGGATTTTTTATTATTATTCTTACATCACAAAATTTACTCTAGGCTTACATTTGATGGACAACTTGGTGTATACAACCAAGCCCATTCTGATTGCATAATTCTGAATTTTATTATTTTTAATATCCATTTTTAATTAGTATAAAGATTTACTCCCTAGTTATGTCTCCTGGGTAACGCTAAAAGACCTGTTCTAATGAAACTAATAAATTATAATGAAATATTGAATATAATAGAAAACATCTTGTTTATCTTTCTTAATTAAATAATACCAATATAATTGAATTTTGTGTTCAAAATGGTTTTGGTTGTATTCACCCGTTTTACTTATTAATACAAAAGCAGAAAATTTATCAAAATGTAGACGACTTTAATCATAACATATAAAGTACTAACAATTGATATCATAATTATTATTATAACGATAGCATTAAAGGAAGCAAAGAGCAGATGGGAAGAAGAGATGAAAGCAGCTATGGTTGAGAACGAGAGACAATTGACTCAAATGAAACAGACATATGAAGAGCGTCTGCATCACGAGAAGCAGAAGAAGTCTAAAAAGAAAGCCGAGGCCAACAAAGTGGAGGCCGACAAACACGACAACCCTTTCCTCTCAAATCTCAATTTTGACGAACAATTGTCGGCGAAAATCATTTATATTATACGGAAGGGAAGCAATACTATCGGCAAAGCGGAGGACTGCACGATACAACTGTTGGGGCCGTTGATTCAGGAACACCACGCAGTGATCAACCGCTTAGATAACGGCAAAGTCATTATGGAGAGGTGTTCTGACGATTGCCGTATACTTCTCAATGGAGATCCCGTCACCCATAAGGTCAACATGAGTCACAACGACCGCCTCCTTTTCGGCACAACACAGCTCTTTGTGTTCTCACATCCGGACCAAAAACTCAAGTCTAAGATGACTTACGCCGACGTGACCTTCGAGTTGGCTCAGGAGGAGATCGCCACCAAAGCCGGGTTCGCCGTCAACTCCGACGACCAATCCATGGAACAGGCGTTACTCAACAAAGACCTCTTGGAAGTGATCCCTACCGTGGATGAGGCCAATGCCATCAGCGAGGAGTTGGAAAAGTTTGTCCGCTTCGAGATAATGCTTGTTTCGCCCCAATTCCTCGGAAAGCCTGGAGAAAGGACTGAAGTAAACGCTAAACCAATACATCGCTATTAATACATCTATTATCACATGAATCGACAAAATAATGTTTATATTTGTTGTTTAGGTTTACGTAAGGATTCGCAACATTGAAAGCGCACAGGAGTTTGAATGGACTAAAGATGAGTTCCTCAACAGACTGTATGTCATGAAAGAAATGTATCAGAACTACGAGGCGGGAGAAGACGACTGGGATTTGCCATCTGTTTGTTAACCTCAAAATTAATCATAATTTTAATTATATTGTTAAACATATTGTCTGTATGTATAGGATAGGGATCCATTTCTAGAGGACCCGCACCGGGAGTGTCACATCGGGACAGTTCAGGTGTATCTGCAATCGTTAGCCTTTATGATTGAACTGAAGGAACAGTTGTCTATCAATGACTTCTCTGGCAGTGAAGTCGGGATAATAAACATAGAGATCGTTCCGTGCGATGAAGTCGGCAATGAATACGACGAGAGGGACGACGTCTATGTGGACAGTCCTCATGAACTGCTCGGACGGGGCATTCATTTTATCATCAAAATCAATGGCTGTCGAGGACTGCCCTCAAGGTTTACGGTCTGTATTAGCACTACATTTACACTTTCTACAAGTTTTGCATCAATCAATCTAACTTGTTTATTGCATCAACTTTTATCATGTGGTTTTGCTTTATCATGTGATTATGCAATAAATTCATTAATGTCAAATACACGCAGTTATTGACATACATGGTAAAATACAGTATATTTAGTACTGTATGTATGCAATACTAGACTATATTACGTGAAAAGTCATGTATTCACGGATTGCCAGTTATTTTTACAGGGATTTTAACATTTATTAAAAACAGGGAAATTATTGTACAGTATATGCATTGTACTAAATCTGTCCTCAATATAACTTTTTAAACAAATATTTGCACATTTGTATAGAGTAAACACAATTAGTATACATCGCATACTTATAGCCTTTAATCTCACTGTTTGTTTGTAATGTCATACATGTGTGCAATAACAGGACATTTACGTCAAATTCCGGGTATTTCTGGACGAAGAGGACACTCGAACCGATCCGATGTCCGACACATCAAATCCAGACTTTAATTTTAAAAAGATATTCACTTTTAAAAGAGTTACTCAACAACTCGTAGACTATTTAAAGGACGGGTTCATCAATATGCAGGTGTGGGGCAAACAGTCGGTTAAGTTTACGGGTATTAGCAAACAAAATACGGGCCGAAACACGAAACAACTGTTTCAGGAGGAACTCGACAAACAGGGAAATGAATTGATGACCGGATTCAAGATGAATGGCCGGGTCGTCGACCCCAACAAACAGTCCATTATTGTAGAGCTCCTACTCATGAAGAAACAACAGGCCCGACAACAGCAGCGCATCGTAAGCCACCATTCAATCCCTCCCCACATCCTATCCTACCCTCATCTCCAATACAATCAATCAATGCGTTTAAAAGCATTTAAAATGCATTCGACATTAATTTATGAAATAATGTCTGAATTAATTATAGATTTAATGCAATGACTAGTGTTTTGAAAGTGATTTGCAAACCAAAAAAATATGGCAATAAATTTTCCTCAAACTTTGATGTCATTCAATACGTAACCTCGAAAAGTGAAAGCAATTAACCAAATGTTAATTGCCATCACATTAACATACATACAACTATACTTTGTGTAGTGATTGTTGGAGAGTCTCTCATTATCCCTACCCACCCCTCCTTAACCCTCAAACCATAACATTAATAGTAACAAAAAGTTAGCAAAACTTTGAACGGATATGCATTTAATAGGAAAATATCAGGCGTTTAGTGGAAACGGCAGAGAAATTTAGGAAACGAAAAATATCCGTACAATTAGTAAAGGATCTGTTGTTCACAACCACTCCCGAGATGGCCGACGCTCTCATACAACAGGTTCCCGAAGGTATGGCCACTCTCTTCGGCCCAAACCCTTATACATTGTGTCTAATGTTATAATAGATTAGATGTTTTGTAATTGGATTTATTAGATGATCAGTACGACAGTATGAAAGCCTCGTCAGGCATTTGCGCTATACTTTGACACCTCCTTCACAGCTACCGGCGGTCGCACACCAAACACCCCCTCAAACACCCCCTCCCGGAGCTATTCATCCCAACAAATGCCGTACAGTATGTCCGCGTAATTGATGGCGAAGTGCACGTACTTTATGGTTGAAATTTCCAGAAAGTACTCGTTTCATCATTAAAAATCAGTAATTTAATAGACAAATAGAGAACCACGCATAATGTTATACGCTAAACGTTACATTTATAAGGGGTGGGGAATTACAATATGCATTGGAAATACATAGAGGGGAGTAGAAGAAGAGTGGTGGGTATGGGTAACAGTGTTATGAACTGTACTCGTCATGTAAAAATCGCATTCACTTGAATTGATGTCAAACACAGCTCTCATTGGCTCTCATTGTTAATAACGCAGAGAAACGTCAAGACATTGAGATCATTGAAAATACAGACATCAATGACGGCATTAGGGGTGCAATCGCTTCGTGTAATTAAACTCAATTCAACTCATATTAATTGACATTCATTTGTAAATTCATATCAATTTATATTTCTATAGAAATTATATTTATTATAATAAATGTTAAGATTTATAATTACATGAGTTTTCTCAATCTTTTTTGGCTTAAATGAGTGGACGGGTTGTGAGTGTTGTAGGAATGAGTGCTCACGTAATGTATGGAGAGTTGTGTCGAGCTTTGGAAACATATATAAAGAATGAGTTGTTTCTCATTACGAGAGCATTGATTAGTGAATTGAGTCAACGATTCGTTATTAACGCCAATAAAACGCCATTTCATTCATTAATCGCGACTTTAATTGAATTGAATTTGAATTGATTTGAAAGTCAACTCAAACTGAATTGAAACCCATTTTGAACCAAAACAAGCGTTCATTGATTTGTGGCTCAAAAACATCACTTTTATTGTGCATTAAATAGTGATTCAATTGAAGTGTATATAACATTGTGAGCCACAGCTAGCCTTCAGTAGTGCTTTACAGCGATAGCTATCCATAGAAACAAAACAAACAAAACTTTTTGACGCGTCATTTGAACGACTGATCGCTTCCCGAAGAATACTATCACAAGAATGGCGTTACTCTCGGATCGGATCGACATATCGGAGGACTCGCGACGTATTTGCGGCCAACAGATCGATGCGGAAGAGAAGCCAAGACTCGACGGCACCTCCAGTGCCGCCAAACGACGCAAACTGAGGCACAACACGACTCGCGCCGACGGCGAGGCCGACGACCGCAGCACAGATGCGATGACTGACTCGACCGCTGGTCCCACGCTTTGCGATTGGATGTCGTGGGAGTTGTCTGAGTGTCGGCCGCAGAATGTGAACGACTTGTGTCCGGAAGTGTTTCAAATAGTTTTGGCGAAGTATTTAAAGGCCAACAATTGGCGAAAGTTAGTGCCCTTACGGCTGGTGTGTAAGTACTGGCGCTCTAACATCGACTCATACCTGGCCTCCAGACACGGCTTCCAATACACGGGTCGGGTGTCAAAGGGGGCGCCGCCGCCGGTCATGAATTACTACGAGTTTAACGCGATGTTAAGCTTTTACCCAAATATGAGACAATTGATTGTCAAGAACTTCACGGTTAGCGACCATTTGGTGGCCATTTTGAGGCAAAATGTGCCAAAACTGGAGCGAATCAGTCTTTACGGCTGTCGTAACCTCAGTTGGAAAGGCATTACAATACTTGCCGTCCGTTTCCCTCAACTCAAGTTCATCGATGTCTCCAATTGTGAATTGGATGAAAACCGGTCAGTATTTGATCCCATTTTATGCCATTTTGTTTGTATTGTTGTTTATTAATGGTTTTGAATGAATAGATTGAGTATTTTGGTGGAGAATCTGCGAAACCTCAAGATTATGAACGCCATAAACCCGGGCCGAGAGGTGACGGGTCAGTGTTTGGCCCGATTGGGGCCTAACATACAGGACATATGGATCGGACTCAACCACTTGCGTGATGTGAATCCGGCGCTCAGAGCGCTGGTGTCGGGAAACGGTCGCAATTTGATTCACTTCGGGCTCATTGTGTCCAACTATTCGACCACCGATTGGTCGATCATAACGGATAATATGACGGCATTGAAGAGTTTGAAGTTGACGTTTGGCTCATACAAGGCGTCGTCGTTGAGACCATTGGCCAAACTGTCTTCTCTGGAGTTCCTGGTGTTGGCCGAAGACTCGCGCAATGAGAACGAGTCGGTGCTGACCGACGAGTCGCTGCTACCGGTGCTGAAGGGCTGCGCGAACCTCAAGTCGTTGGCAATCGCGGGCACGAAAG